TTATCATCTCTATCACACACATGTTGACCACGTACTTTTTCCCTTTTTCTGGTGAGACATGTTGATCAAACACTTGCGCTTTCTGTTCTCAACGTAGTACAGGTGATTTCATTAGGTCACTTCATGGAAGAATGAACTTTAATACTCCCCATTGGAGTGGGCCACGTAGAAACGAACTCTTGGACACGCGTGTCATGCATTAAATTGTGTTTGCGCAAAAACTTCTTTTTTCTACATTTGTCCACCAATCCAATGAACGATACACATAGTTTGGGTGGCACCTGGATATATTTAGAGGCCTGGTATAACATCGTGTACCTTCTATTCAAAATGCTTCTTTCCAGGGGCTGTGTATATTCCAAAAAGCATAAATTCAAGTAAATGCATAGAAGAGTAACATTGTCTGTCTTCCCCCTATAGCCATTTAAATGTCCTGAGTTATTCTTCCTGGTCCATGTTTGCATTGCATACCTCGTTCTTTTAGAATGTTGCCCCTCCTCAACAGGGCCTTGACCAGGACGAGCCTCAAGATCATTAAGGCATCTTTTCGTATTCACATTGGCCTGACTGTAGTTACTCTCTGTAATATCAAGTTGACTATCTATCGTTTGAGTATTTGTCAACCGTGAAGCTCTACCATAAGCTAATGTATCGCCAGAACACGACAGACGACAATGAGGACAGATCTGATTCCCAAAATGAACACCAAGCCTCTTCAATTCCGGTCTGCCACCTAAATCTACTGTCAATTCCACTCGGTTCTCACTTCCAAGCTGTTTGTTGATCATGAAAGGTGGAAAATGGAACATCCACATGTGATCTTCAACCGTGACTGGAATGTTTTCATAGGTCACAGCGTAATGAGTAAAGATGGATTGGTTGCGGTTATTTATTATGGTGACTATTGGAAACGGCTGCGGCTCCTTGGTGTCGCTCTTGGATGAATAGACGATGCATACCGTGAAACCTTGTAGCTTACAGCCTTGAAATGGAGGCATCTGAAAAGATAGCGAAGGACTCTCGCTCTGATAGCTAAACCAATCGGGAATGTCGCTTCCCGGTAGAAAAATTTCTCCATAACCATGCCCGCACCAGTCCTGTACAATGAGAGGAAATTGCACGATGATTCAATCGAGCATTCTAAAAGGTAGAAAATTGTCTAACAGTGTGCATGAACCACATTAGAGGAAGAGAGAGAGAGTGTGTGAACCTGAAAAAGGAACTCTTTGAAGTTGCTCGATAAACTGTAGCACCACATCATGTGTATTGTCCAAGCCAGAAATCTCTTCTATTTTGCTGCAGTTAGTGAGAAATAACCTCGGTACATGGCGGAATTTGGATACAGATACACTTTTCAGCGATGTATGGTTAGATGCAGACAGAGTGAATAAATTTGTCGGCATATCAGGAAGCAATTCAAGCTCCGCGCAATCGTCCAATTTAAGGTTTTTGAGTTTCGAGAGACCACTGGCTGTATCTGGTAAGCTGAAAAAGTTGTTCTTTCTCAGGTCTAAGTCTTCTAGGAAGAGCAAGCTTCTGATGTCCCTCGGGATTGCATCGTCTGATAGATTGCAGTCCATCAATTTCAGTGATGTTAGTGAAGTTAACCCCGACAACGATGTGATCAGCATAAAATTTTTGTGCAGATCTTCCCTTCTTGTCACCCATGACCAAATGAATGAAGACACGGAGCTGGGCTTTGAAATCTTCCATCCCCATAAAGATAACTTTCGTTGAGAAAACAATCCATATTTTCCGTTGAGATGTGTATGGTTGAGTTGGAGTAGTCTTAATCGATTCATCCTCGCAAAAGCTTCAGCATTCACTTGCACTGCAATTGATTCTGGCAAATTCAACGTGATTCCTTCGATTTCTTCTGTACCCTGAACGATAGGAATGTTTCTTGAAGTCTATGTGCAAGCAGTTCCAATGAATATAGTCTTTTCAAAGGCTCATGGATGGACTTATCCAAAAGATTGACACTCACCAGGTTACTTGTCAATATCATGAGGATGTCCTCATGATGCCACAATCTGCTGCGTTTGCCAGGATTTCTAGGATTTTCCTCCCAGACGATTTCTCTCCCCATGTCACAAAGCAAGTCATGCATCACCAACTTTTCATTTTCGACTTTCATGAGGCACCTTCTGGTGAGAACACTGATTCCAATCTCCGCAAAGAAACCACAACCATCCAACACTTTGACTGCATAATCTTTATCCAATGCCCACGAAGAAGCAAGCAATGTCAAGGAATATATGCTTCTCTTGGTCGTCACTGAGTGCTTCAAAGCTTACTTGGAGTTGTGCCTGTATGTGGAAGTGTGGAATTCTTTTTATTTTCTCTAGTGCACTTCTCCATTCAACTGTACTCCGATCGAGCAGAAACGAGCCAAGGACTTCAAGAGCTAACGGTATTCCTTTGGAATGACTCACAATTTCTTTTGAGAGTACGATGAATTCTTCTTTAGGACGAGGACTACCAAATGCGTGCCAACTAAAAAGCTCAAGAGATTCATCATTATTCAGTTCCTCTACCATATATGTCATCCGCATCTATCACCTTCAGCAAACTTTCGTCTCTGGTGATTATTATGATTCTACTGCCTGAGCTGATCCAATCACGCTCTCTCGCTAATGTCTCTAGTTGGGTAAGACTGGTCACATCGTCGAGCACAATAAGGACCGTTCTGTTGCGTAATCTTTCCTTAATGATGCTGATTCCCCTATGAGTGTTGCTTAGTTTTATCTTTTCATGCTTCAGAATATCAGAGAGAAGTTGCTCTTGCAAGCGAACTCGATCATTAGATTGCTTGGAATTTTCTCCCACGTCAGCAAGAAAGCTTTTACCTTCGAAATAGTAAAAGAACCGGTTATAGACGGCTTTAGCTATCGTCGTTTTGCCGATCCCTCCCATCCCGCAAATTCCTAGGAAGAGCACATCATTGGAGCCAGCCTGTAGCAGCGACACTACTTCCTCTAAGCGTGGATCAAGCCCCACTAGGAATTTTGCGACATTTAGGTATGTGTCCTTCAATTCATTCAATACCACGCCAATGATTTTCCTGATAAACTTCCCTTCATGCCTGTAATGTTAAAACTTGTTATAGGATTGACGCACAGACTGCATAGGAATGTAATAGATCGTTGAGAAATTGGCAAAAGAACACTACAAGTGCCATAACTTGTGTACGGCGCTCACTTTGGTGCCATAAGTTTTTTTTAGATCACTTTAGTGCTAAAATTTTTGAAAAGCGATCACTTAAGTGCTAAAATTTTTGAAAAACGATCACTTAAGTGCCAACTCCAGTGCCGTACACAATTTTTCGCCGGAAATCCGACGTGGCATTTTTTTTATTAATTTCTGAAGCTGACGTGGCTCACCGGAGATTGGCACTTAAGTGATTGTTTTTCAAAAAATTTAGCACTTAAATGATCGTTTTTAAAAATTTTTAGCACTTAAGTGATCGTTTTTCAAAAATTTTAGCACTGAAGTGATCCAAAAAAAACTTATGACACTTAAGTGATCGTTTTTCCTCCGACTTGGCACCAAAGTGATCCGAAAAAAAAGTTATGGCACCAAAGTGATCTCCGTACACAAGTTATGGCACTTATAGTGTCCTTTTGCCTTGAGAAATTTATCAAAATCTCTCCAGCCATTACTTTTGACAACAAAAGCATAAAAATGCCTAAAGTGAGTTTCTAAGTGTTAGGAGTAGAAAAAGGGTAAAGTGGTCTTTAGGACCTTTATGACTTATTTTTGGTATATGTATTGGACACTATGGGTGAATACACAATACACTTTTCCCTCTCTCTCTCTTTCTCATGGTATCAGAGCCTGGTACCTAAACCTCTCCCCCATACGCGCGACCCAGCTCGCCGGAACAACCCGTCGCCGGCGACCTCAGCTCGCGCGAGGCGCCAGCCGCGCGACCCAGCTCACCGGAACAACCCGTCACCAGCAACCCCAACTCGCGCGAGGCTCCAACTCGCGCTGGGCTCCAGCTAGCGCGAGGCTCCAGCCGCGTGACCCAAGCTCGCGCGGGGCTCCAGCTCACGCGACCCAGCTCGCGCGAGGCTCCAACTCGCGCGATTCAGGTCGTACAAGTCACGCGAGCTCGGTGACTGGAGGTTTCCTCGCCATTGATGTGATTGAAGGTCTTCTTGTGGCTCGGTGACTCCCGGCTCTTGCAGTCGTGAAGTGATGTGGTAGATTGCGGCTCGGTGACTCCTCTTGTGGCTCGCCATTGATGTGATTGACTCTGTTGAAGTTCCGAGGTCTGGCCAGGTTAGATTACTTGGTTGTTAGACCTTAGATTATGGGTGTTTGATCAATCGGCTTATGGTTTATCGATTGGTGGAGTTGTTGGGGAAGGCTGGTAACATTGACAAGCCCTGGGAGCTAGTATACGGTCTATTGGAGTGCTGAATTGTTGTGCCAATATACGGTCTGTTGGATTGCTGAATTGTTGTGGTTAAGATTGAGGTGCTTGAACGAAAATATTGCGAGAATCCTCTTATTGTTGTTGAAAAATGGGTGATTCTGAGAAGAACAATCCTGTGATGACTGAGGTGATGTCCTCTTCGTCTAATCGAATTACTAATAAGAAGCTTGTGAGTAGTTCTAACTTCCATCAATGGAAGAAAATTGTGAAGCTTACTTTGACAAGTAGGAATCAGCTTAGACACATAACTGAGCTGAGACCCGAAGATGATGCAAATTGGGATATTGTTGATGCACGCATCCTTGGTCAGATCTTAAACGCTATGGAAAATAATATAGTTGATCCAGTAACCCATATTGACACGGTCAAAGAAATGTAGGAGTATTTGGATGTATTATATTCTGGCCAAAATAACTTGTCACAAGTTTATGAGTTATCGTAGGAGTTTTACCGATCTGAAAGAAAGGGACGTCCTATTACGCAATACTTTGCTGAGTTTAAGAGAATGTATGAGGAGTTGAATCCTGTTCTTCCCATTTCAGCCAATGTTCAGCAAATGCAACTTCAAAGAGAACAATTGGCTGTAATGGCATTTCTAGCAGGCATTGGTCCTGAATATGAAACTGTTAGGTCTCAGATTCTTGGAGGAGAGGCTATCGCATCACTCACCGATACAATTGCTCGGGTACTTCGAGTATCTCGTGAGTCTCCTCAGAATATTACATCTATGGTAGATAATTCAGCTCTTGTGTTCCAATCTCGATGGGGTAGTGATAGTAGGAGTGATGGAGGAAATCGTGAAGGATATAGTAGTGGACGTGGTGGTCGAGCGGGAGGCCGAGGTGAAGGAACAGGGAGAGGCCAAGGCCAACAGCATGTGTCTACCAACAACTCAGGGGCCATACGGATTTGTCATTACCGTGGCAAATCTGGCCACATTCAGAAATTTTGTTACAAGCTACATGGAAGATCAGGGCAGCAACAACAGTTTCCACATACTGCTTCCGGTACTGATTCTCCTCCACAGTCTTCTGAAGGCAAGGTAGTTGTTATGTCTGATGAGGAGTTTGCACGGTACACCCAGTCTCAGATTTCACAGCCTGCTTCTTCCACTGCTACTTTGGTACAGACAGGTAATGCTACTGCATGCCCTTCAGCTCCTTCTCGTCCTTGGATCATTGATTTAGGGGCTTCTGACCACATGTCAGGTCTTTCAGGTATATTTTCCTCTCTTACTTGTTGACACCTAAATTTCGGCGCATCATTTAGTGATTAATTGCATAGAAAATTATGGATTAAATTTTAATCCCTAAACAAAAATATTACAAATCGCATAGCATAAAGTTTAGGTTCATATAGATTAACTGCATTTCGCATCGGATCGGCGGTGGTAAGCGAGCTTAAAATTCATTACGTAAATCGAGCTCGGGCACCGAACGAGATTCGGCTCACTCGGAAAGCATGGGCCGAAAATCACACACAAAAGGGCTTGATTGTCTTAATTTGAGCTTAAATTAGCCCATTATGCTTAATTAAAGAAAAGCCCAAATTAATTCAGCCCATTTAAAATTAAATTAAAGCCTAAACCTAAGCCCATTAGGACTAGAAAGCCCGGCTAATTGACCTAGGTTTACATTATAAATATATGTTTATATCTCATAATCAAAGGGGGGGCTCTTATAATTTTTCAGATCGGATTTTTAGAGAGACATACGAGAGAATTTTGAGAAGAGTGAGAGAGAGAGAGAGAAGGAGACCGCCCGCCGCGCCGCACAGCACGCCTGCCACGCCACCGCCTGCCGCACTACGCCGGAGCTGCTCCGCCCCTCGGCCGCTGCGTGCCACCGCCGCGCGCGCCGCCCCTCGCCGCGTGCTGCCGTCTCTCGCCGTGTGCCACCGCCGCTGCACGCCTGCCTGCCGCTCCCTCGTCGCACACCACCGCCGCGCCGGTACCACCGCCGCCTGGACGTCCCTACTCCGCCCGCCTGTGTCGTTGTTGCTCGCTGCACAGCCGCCGGAGAGCTGCCCTGCACCACCGCTCGCCAGCCAGAGCTGCCCTGCACCGCTGCTCGCCAGCCGGAGCCGCCTGCACCGCCGTTATCACACCGCCTGTGCTGCCGCTGTTCGCTGCACAGCCGCCGGAGAGTCGCCCATCCCCGCCTGTTGGCCGCTACCCGGAGACGCCCGCCGCGCCGCCGTTCCCGTCGTGTCACCGTCGCTAGCCGCCACTATTCCCGACGTCACGCCGCCGCTCCCGACGCACCGCCGATCCGCAATCCCGATCCGCTACAGATTCAAATTAGGAAAGAAATCTGCAAATCAGGTAATTATCATATCCCGATTTGATTCGAATATTTGGTTGCCTAATTTGTGCTTATTGATATCTAATTTTGCATATTTGGATAATAAGCATTATTTCAATTAGGATTTTATTTCCTTTTTTGAAATCTTGGATATCTATTACTTTTCAAATTTGGATAGAATTTAGAATTTTCAAAATCTTTTGAATATATCCAAGATATTTAAGATATCTAATTTTTTTCAAGATGTGATCGATTAGGAAAATTTCCTAATCCGCAACCGCACACGTGGAAATAAATCTATCTATCAAGCTTTAGATAGAGTTATTTCCATAGCGGGTATTTCGAATTTTAGGATCGATCTGTCAGGCTTCAGATAGAAACTTAATTCGAAAGATTTAGCGGTTATATTTTTTACTTGATTTTAATTTCGAATTTTGATAAAAAAAAATGCCAAAAAGATTACTCTTGAATAGGTTAATTTCTTTAGTTTAAAATTGCATGTTTAGATAATTGGCATTTTTAATTCCGAATTTCATTAAAGAAAAAATACAAAAATAATAATAATATGCCCGTCTTTAGAAATAGATCACGTCGTCGCATGACATATAGTTTGCATGTTAGGTTGCATTAATCACAAGTCAATTTTTGCACGTAATTACATATAGGTTAGCTTTTCATTTAAATAAATAAAAAATCAAAAAAGAAAATTTTTGCACCTTTGAACTCTAAGTCAGGATTTATCAAAATTGTCCAATTGAGTATTTCTCTTGAAATTGGTACCGAAAGGGCGTTAGGGAATCTAGCGTAATCAAGTCCCCGAATTTATAATTTCTGGTTCGCAGAAATAAAATAGTACTCCCGCTATTTTATTTAGGTTTCTAATCAACCTACCTTAAATGATTAGTGGCGACTCCCATTGAAAATATTTGCATGCTCACAATTGGACCTAAGTTGCGATTTGGTAGAGTTTGGGAGAACTCGAGCTAGGTTAGTTAATTTAATTGATCTAGTAATCCATTAGCCTAAGATCGAAAACCCGATTTTTTTTAGGTCGCGACATTACTTCATCTTCATCCATGGTAACCATAGCCAATGGATCATCTACACATGTTAAGGGGATTGGCATAGTTTATCCAACTCCTTCCTTGCCATTATCCTCAGTGCTTTACCTTCCTCAATTTCCGTTTAACCTCATGTCCGTCAGTAAATTAACCAAAAACTTTCAGTGTTCAATAACATTCTACCCTAACTCTTGCATTTTTCAGGATCTGGCTACGAAGAGGACGATTGGTAGAGGACGTGAGGCAGGGGGGTTGTATGTACTTGAAGACGCTCCTTGCATTGCATGTCCTAGTGTTGCATCCTTACATCAGATCCATTGTCGCCTTGGTCATCCTTCTCTACATAGCCTTCAGAAGTTAGATTCTAGTTTTAGATCCCTTTCTAGTTTAGAGTGTGAGTCATGCCCACTTGGCAAATTACATCGTATTAGTTACCCGCCACGAGTCATTAAAATATATGCTGGATTTGCTCAATGAAACAAGTATGTTGGGGTCAAAGCCTCTTGATTCACCCATGGAACAAGGGGTCAAACTAGTTGCTGAGGGAGGAGAAATTCTTGATAACCCTGAGAGATACAGGAGACTGGTAGGTAAGCTGAATTATCTCACAGTCACTCGATCAAACATTGCCTTTCCAGTTAGTGTGGTAAGCCAGTTTCCGTGTTCTCCTCGTACATCTCATTGGGATGCAGTTATTCGAATATTGAGGTACTTGAAAAAGACTCCAGGGAAAGGAATTGTTTACCAAAATCATGCTCATAGTAGAGTCAAAGGATTCTCCGATGCTGATTGGGCAGGGTCTCCAGATGATAGGAGATCAACTACTGGCTATTGTACCTTGGTTGGAGGAAATCTAGTATCATGGAAAAGTAAGAAACAAAATGTTGTTGCCCGCTCAGTGCTGAGTCAGAATATAGAGCCATGGCACAAGTGACATGTGAATTAATGTGGATTCAGCAGTTATTAACTGAGATAGGCTTCAAAGCTTCAGTACCCATGACTTTATGGTGTGACAATAAAGCTGCAGTGCATATAGCTTCTAACCCTGTATTTCATGAGAGAACAAAACACATTGAGGTTGATTGTCACTTTATTCGGGAAAAGTTACAGAGTGGAATGATCATTCCCAATCATATTCGAACCGGTGAACAACTTGCAGACATTTTTACTAAACCTTTGCGTAATGGGAGGATAGAATATATTTGTAACAAGCTGGGCATGATTAATATATATTTTCCAGCTTGAAGGGGAGTGTTAGGAGTAGAAAAAGGGTAAAGTGGTCTTTAGGACCTTTATGACTTATTTTTGGTATATGTGTTGGACACTATCGGTGAATACACAATACACTTTTCCCTCTCTCTCTCTTTCTCACTAAGGAATTAGGAAAATCTAGATTTCATGTACCGTGCTTTCTTTGATCTTGATCTGAAGATATCAAAGCTAATTACGCCAAATCAAGGACTGCCATAGTCCCAAGTTCAACATTATGCCTTTGAAAGTTTTGTCAAATTCACATTAATTGATGATTACACAAATGTATTGGATTGTACTTTCTTGATGTCATTTAAGAATCAATTATAATCTTAAACTGTAGTCGAATTCTTAGATGATTGATAGACTAGGATATAATATTCTTGAACCCCAATTTACAAGGGTCAAATAGAATTACCCATCTGCAACATTTCTGAGATCCCAGCCTGATAAATTTCCCACTTGTGTGAGAGCCGCCTTCCACTGAGCAACTTTGTCCTTCTCTCCCTTGAATCGCTCTTCGTGATTAACAAAATGCCTCTGCAAAGATGCCTGTCTGTTTCCGCACATACAAAGGATCGATGTCATAGAACACGGGAAGAACCAACTGCCCCAGCTCCTGCCTGCACTCCATTATCTTCATGAGCTCCTCGAGACACCATCTTGAATGAGCATAGTTCCTCGAGAAAACAATCACTGATATCCTTGACCCTTGTTTGGCTTTTCCAAGTTCAGATGAAATTACTTTTCCTCGGGGAAGAGCATCATCGTCTCTGAAAGTGTTGACTCCCGCATCTTTAAGGGCGTGATAAAGGTGGTCGGTGAAGTTTCTCCGGGTGTCTTCGCCTCTAAAGCTCAAGAACACATCGTACATCCACGGACGAGAAGTGGAGAGACCGGAAGATGAGCCCTCCATCGACTAAAAGAAGAAATTACAGATTGCTCTTAAGTCGAGAAAGAAGACACTGGAGATGTAGAATGCGTGCATCGGAGAAGATGATCACTAGGCAAAGAGCTGAAACTCCTATACAAACCCGGCCGGCTCTCAGTGTTTTGTTTTTATAGCACAAGTCCTAGAAAATTGCTGTGCTTAATTTGCGTTTCTTTTTAATGACGGATCATCCACAACTATTAGCAAAATAGATAGTAATTTAATGGAAACTTCTCTACCTGTTTCTTACTTGAGGAGACTTTGTTGCACTTTGTGTCCTCTTGTTTAGAATATAATATTGTGATCTGTGACCTGTTTTCCCTTTTGGACGGAAAAAGAGCAGCACAAATGAACTAAAGAAAATATGTTCACCTGAAGAGAGCAATTGAATAAAATTACGGAACCCGCAGTCGATAAAAAACACCATTTAGTAGAATATTCATTGACAAAGTATTCTTTCCATGACAGGTCGGGATGCAAAGTCAACTCCAAATACTCACCCTAGCGTGCTCTGGTGTGGTACCAATTGAACCGATAACAAGATCTCTTCACTTCTTTCACTGTCTAAACTACTTGTTTACCGTTTATTAGTTAATTTGCTGCTCCTATGCGACATTGTCGGGGTCGTGAGGATCACATTCTAAGTTCTTGTCCGATGATGAAAAGTAACTGTTCATCATAGCATGTGAAAATCGTCCATTGTCCAACAAAACAGCATTTTTTCCTCATATACAAAACTTTTTCGAAACATTTCGAGTTTTGCATAAGAGTTCCATTCTCTTGTCATCTCAAATGGATTTGAAACTTTTCAACCAAAAAAGTTGGACTCGAAGCTATTTGTCCCTGAGATTGCCCTCAGAAGACGCTTCAGGTCATTGTTTACAGATGGTTGAAGAATCCCATGAACCTGAAATCAAAGTCATCAACTGTAACAGAATATTCATGTACTTCTGCGACCGCCTCTCCACTTTTTCAGTTACTATTGCCGCCTTGATCTTTCTTAGCGGTAAGTTCACCTGAATTTAAGTACAACGTTGAAATTGACCAAAGCTGTGGACAAGCATCTGACAATAGAGAAGACAATCGCTGATCCTTGACCTTGTATGACTTTCACATGCTCAGATGAAATTTCTCCTCCTTTTGGAAGCGCGTCCTCATCTCTGAAAGTGTTGACTCCAGGATCTTTAAGGGCGTGATAAAGGTGGTCGGTGAAGTTTCTTCGAGTGTCTTTGGCTCTAAAACTCAAGCGCACATCGTGGGTAAGTGGAGAGACCTGAAGATGAACCTTCCATGGCTAAAAACAGGAAGTCAGATTGCTCTTAGGTCAAGAAGACCTTGTAGAATGTATGAACTGGAGAAGACTATTAAGCAAAGAGGTGAAAAACTAAGGCAAGGTCGTTTTCAACCTCGATCAGCTAGCAGCTTTTCATTATTATTAATAGCTTCCAAGTCTCAGGAATGTGAATATGGTTTTCATTTATTCTTACCGATGGATTAGAAGAACTACTAGCGAAATAGAAATTTAATGGAAAGTTCTCAATCTGTTTGCTACCCGTGAAGCGACTCTGTTGCACCTTGTATCCTCTCTTTAGAATGTAGACTTCATTTTGATCTCTGCTCTGTTTTGCCTTTTGGAAGGAAAAAGATAAACCCATATCATATGAACTAATAGTAAAGAAACTATTTCTGCTTGCAGAGACCGATCATATACTAATGCGAAACTCGCGCTCGATAAAGAAAAAACCTTCGAGTAGAATATTGATGACAAAGTTTTCTTCCATGTCAGGTCGTAAGAGGCAAAGTCAACTTCAAAGCTCAAACGCTCACACCCTTGTATGGATATGAAGACATTTTGTTGGAGAAACTGAATTCTTTTATAGGAGAGAGATCGTGCTATGGTATGAATGAATTGATTAGAGAACAGACATAAACGCCAGTTCTCTTCACATCTTTTGCTGTATGGATTATTTATTTTCCGTTTCTCGGTAAATTTGCCGATTATATACGATGATGGGGTTTCCAGAGATGAAAAGTAACTGGTCATCAGCATGTAGTAGTCGTGCATTGTCTGCTAAAACAGCATTTTTCTCATTCACAAAACTTCTTACAGCGTCTCCAGTCATTTCAAGTTTCTCATAGAAGTTCTCTTATTTTGCCATCTCAAATGGATTTGCAACATTACGACTCTAAAAATGACTGGACTAGAAGCCATCTATTCCTGATGAATCGCCCTCCGAAGATTCTTTAGTGCTTTCTGATAATTGAAGAATCCTGTGAACCAGAAATCAGAGTCATCCACTGTAACAATGTTTATGTATTTCTGAGGCGGTCTCTCCACATTCTCAGTTTCGTTCACCGCCTTAATCTTTCTTATCGGTACCTTCATCTGAAAATAAGTACAACATTAAGATCGACCAAACTTCTGACAAGCACGTGACAACAGAGAATGCCGAACTGGTGTTAACCGAAAGAGAGTCGACTTTTGCAGCTTGTGGAAAAATTACCTCGTAATGGATTTTGGTTGATCCCCCACCTGGAGAAACCACTTCTACAGATCTCTCACTCCAAAATGCAAATTTTTCAGTGGAGATAAAGAGAAGGCCCGCTGCAATAGGACTGGTTGAAGTCAACCAATAACATTCGAAAGACTCCATTAATTTTTCTCCATCTTCCCAACTGAACAATTCCCGGAAAAGTTTCTCTATGCCACCAAGCTGAAGAACTCTTGCCCCAAAACTCAATTTCCCCCTCACCATCGCTGTGATTCCGGGACTCAATCTCACTGCAGTTCCAGAAAAACAAAGTGACAACTGTTTTAGCATATCTTAGAGAACTACTTTTAACTAAGGGAATTGTACTCTGTACTTGTTCTCTCCTTTCCTCTTTCCTTTGCACAGATTAATGGCCCGAGTTAATATGCATAACTGCAACATCATGTACGCATCTCTTCAGTGACAACAAATGACAGAAATCTTATCCTTTTCGCAATTTATCTCTAAGAAACAAATGATCTAGCCCATTTCAAGCAGTCCATGTAGAACCATTGAGGATTGCCAGATCAATCGATGTTTCAAATAACTCAAAGTGATCCTGGCAAATTGGAACCACAGTATGGCGCACCCCATATATCAAAGAGTATTGAATAAACTCATTTTTACATTGCATAGTTGATTGAGCCAATATCAATGCAGGAAATGTACAATGACAGTTTTCTTGTTTTCCATTACACCTACTGAATCTCAGTCAATACAATAACACTCTGAACAGATAGAAGAAGTCATCTTACCATGCTCTCGGAAACCATGCACAATTGCATCTGCATTCTTCCCAAGCATATTAATCTTGTCACACACGAACTTCACTTTATCTGTTATGTCAAAACCATCCAGGTTAGCAAAACTTCTCTGGTTTATGTATAGATGCCAGAATGAAACAAATGAAAAGAAAAAGAGAAGTCGTCTAATGAGATGAACAACTTCCTACTTGGTATTGAACTTTGCGATTCATCGACTGGGGAAGTTGTTTGTAGATTTTGTCCAGAATGCTCGGATGGTGTTGCCTCCGGGTACATTGCCAAAGCTTCTATCTCGGGATCCTGCAGTTGGCTTTCCTTCTGCCCTGTTTTCTGCAAGGAAAAGGGGCAGCTTTTTAGAAGGGGTCGGGTGCGAGGAAATTGTGCTTACTCAGTGTGATGAACTATAGAGTTTATCTAGATCTATACTAAGAGTTCCTTATTGCTAGTATTCTGTAAATTACAATAGATGAACATGCTTATTTCTTCGATGACAAAAGCATGAATCTCACTACACTCACCAATGTCGTCCGGATGTTTCTGGGGTTTTTAGAAGATTCTTCCCAGGCAATCTCTCTTCCCAAGGCCTGAAGCAACTCACGGTACATCAACTTCTTTTGACCAACATTTGCTAGGCACCTTCTCTGGCGAACATTGTTTTCACTATCGCACTTTGGGAGACTGCAATGAAAAAAGTCTTTGGCAATGCAGGGCAACTCATCCTTCTCTTTGTCATCACAGAGCGAATCGAAACCTGTCCTTTTCAGATGTGCGAATGCGCTTCTCCATTCAACCAAACTTCTATCTGAGAAGAAAGAACCCAAGACTTCAAGAGCTAAGGGTTCTCCTTTACAATGACTTGCAATCTCTTTTGAAAGTTCCATGAATTCTTCTTTGGGATGAGAATCACCAAAGGCGTGCCAACTGAAAAGCTGAAGAGCATCATTGTCATCCAACTGCTCAACCATATATGTGCCATCCCCATTAAAGTCCTGCAGTAAACATTGATCTCTTGTTGTTATAATGATCCTACTGCCCGGACCAAACCAATCACGTTCTCTGGCTAGTGCTTTGATTTGCATAAGATCCCTCACATCATCCAGCACAACAAGAACCCTTTTATTGCATAAAGTTCTCTTAATGACACTAATTCCCCTACGAATATTGCATATCTTTATGCTTTTATGCTTCACAATGTCTGAAAGAAGTTGCTCTTGCAAGCTAACTAGATCATTCAGTTGCCAGAAATCTCCGCTCACGTTCGCAAGTAAACTTCTCCCTTCAAAGGCATGGAAGAAATGGTTATAAACAGCTTCAGCTATCGTCGTCTTGCCAATTCCTTCTCTTCCACAGATTCCTATGAAGAGCACCTCATCCGAGCCTAGGTTTAGCAAAGATTTTATTTTCTCTAATCGAGTTTCAAGTCCAACCCGGAAGGTTGGTACATCCAGGTATGTGTCTGGCAATTCTTGCAATACGTCGTTAATGATTGCCTGGATAAGTATGGCCTCATGCCTGTATGTCAAAAAGGAATTGATGCAGAATACATCAGTAAAAGAAGGTAAAGGGAGTAAAAGAAAGACAGGTTGAGTTGATCTATGTCTCTCTAGCATCTAGGTAGCCAATGCCGCTCGCGAAAGTGCATAAGAAATGAACTAGTAGATGTTAGTTCCATCAAAGCTTAGTCAACAAAGAATTTTAATGAAGAACTTTGAAAAAGTTAAACAAAATTACCCATCTGCAACATTCTTCAGATCCCAGCCCGATAAATTTCCTGCATTTGTAAGAGCTGTCCTCCACCTATCGACTCTGTCCCTCTCTTCTTCGAAACAGGCTTCATGTTCAGCAAATGCTCGGGCAAAACTACCTGTCTGTTTCCGCACTTCTGAAGGATCGACGTCATAGAACACGGGAAGGACCAGCTGCCCATGCATTTCCTTGACCTCCATAATCTTCTCAAGCTCTTCGAGACACCACCTGGAATTGGCATAATTCGTCGAGAAAATGATAATCGATATCCTTGACTCTTCTATAGCTTGCAGGAGTTCGGATGAGATCTTCTCTCCTCTCGGAAGGGCATCGTCATCCCTGAAAGCATTGATTCCTGCGTCTTCCAAGGCAGAGTAAAGATGGCCAGTGAATCTTCTCCGCGTATCTTCTCCTCTAAAGCTCAAGAACACATCGTATGTCCACCTACCACGAGTGGAGGCATCGGAAGACCAGACAGAACCACTCATTGCCGAAAAGCAAAACCAACCTATCGCTCTCTGCTCAGCTGATAGTTTTCTCTGGTTCAATAGCTGACGAATCCTATGAAATGCTCATGCTTTGCAGGTGTTATATACACCTCGAGTTTGATCCCGTCGAATGAACCCGACCCAAGTTGAATTATTTATAAGCTGAGCACATGAGAGCTCCAAACCAATGTTGCAGATTACGTGTCCCGTGTTGAATCAGCCCTGTTGCACGGAAGTTGGTCTGAAGCTCGCGGCGGTTTGATATCATATTTCCTTGTCGGAGTTCCTCGGCCCGAAACTACAAAGTCCAACGTGGACTTTGAACAGGAAAAAGTCCGCCACGATTCGGTCGTCTCGGGTTCCAGTTCATGGTGTCCTTGATCTTGACTCGGTCAACTCGGTGACTCGAGCTCTACTGAGTGAACTCTCCACCCAGAAGAAATTGTCAACGCATCGAAGAGAACCCAGTTGGGTTCTTCTGTGAGCAGACGGAATTCGAAAAGCTTTTCGAGATAGAAGGATTTCTTCGGTTGAGATGCAGAGAGAGAGAGAGGAAATGGGGAGGGAAAAGCGCGCAACGGGACGAGGTGCCCGAGACTCTTCTTCGCCGGAACGGCGACCGTCGCCGGTGGAGCCAAGGCGGTGGGAGCCATAATCGCCGGAATCGGAAGCGAAGTGAGGAGTTCCGTGGGGGTGGAGAAAATATTCGGCCGTTGCTGACTAACACGTCACCATCCTACGTGGCGCGCGTGCCCCGCCCAAAAAGCGACACGTGTCGAGTGACATGGCAATGGATGGAAGCCCTTTTATCTCTCTCCTCTGGGGTGGGAGATTGCGACACGATCCCACCAATAAATCACGAAATTAATTCTTTTTTTATTTCAAGGGTGAAAATAGCAGACTAACCATATTTTCAAAATTTTCATTCCTATTGAAAATCTTTAATTTACAAACAAAACAGGTTTTTTCTTTAGAAAATGAAAAATGATGAAATAGAAAACTGTACACAAACTGCAAGTAAATTATAACCTAGAATGCATCGTCATAAAAATTACTGCAATATCAATCATTGATTTGAAACGACTCGACTCCAATTCAAAGGAATTCCAATGAACTCCGAAATCCCAAATCATAATTTAATGGATCAATAATAAAAAAAAAATAACATGGTTCGTAGAGACAACAGAGGACATAAAATGGCCGAATCCCCTAAAAAAATCTCCACTTTTAAGTTCAGTCTTAATTTTGCTCCAAACTTTTCTTTTTGTCTAAAAGAACTCAACTTGATGTCTGGTCCCAAATTTATCCCGAAAGTTTTTTTTGTTTAAAAAAAATCGCCAACTTAACTCTAGTCTCTTGACCAAAAAAATAAACTCTAGTCTTAAATTTGCCCCCTAGTAGCTCTCTTTCCAAAAATTGCCATTAGTCGATCCCAATTTTCCTAATTTTCATATCAAAGAACGGTTTCATTTTGGTCACCTTGCTCATGTGGATTTGTTACTGACGTGGAAACAACACGTCAAACAACTAATGCGACTTTTGAATGAATGGTTAACATGGGAAAATTTGAGATCAGAATGAAAGTTCGTGATTTTTTTTAGATAGAAAAAATGTTCAGAGCAATTGGGTCTAGAGTTAAAGTTGGTAATTATTTTTTAGACAAAAAAAAATTCGGGACAGAATTGGAACTCGACCTAAAATTAAGGAATTTTTAGAAAATTAGGCCAACGGGAAATGAATTAAAAGAGCATTTTTTCAGTAGGATATTGACGACAAGGGTTTCTTCTACTACTGGTTGCAAGGTAAAATCAAATTCCAAAAAACTTAAATCACACTTCAAACATTTCCTTTTGTGTATGGCCGCAACTTTCAATCAAAGAAAAAAAAATAAACAACTATAATAAATTTGTGAAAACTCATAGATATAGATATAGATATCTTTGGAATTTCCCAGATGAAATAACCATGGCTATCAAAATTAGGGAGTGAGCACTGGTCGTGATTTCATCCGGGAATCGAACCGAACCAGCCTGTTTTAAATGGTTCCTAGTCCCAAATTTTGGAAATGGCAATAACTAGTCCAGTTTAGCTCAGGGAACCGGATTTGCCGTACCGACCGAACCAAACTGACAGAACCAGGCCAGGATGCCTTGTTTTCGAACACCAGAGATGTGAAAAATTCCATCACGGCACAGGTTGGATAGGTTTTCTTTATACTGTCTGGTTGACAACTATGAGAGGTGTGGTGGTCCTTGCAAAACATTCTAAAAACTGTCCGTCTCGGATTGATGTGCCAATACGGATGTAGCTCCTCGTGTAGACGTTGCTGGGTGCTTTTTAGGACGTGGTGTCCCTGCTTTCCCTTCCGTGTTATTGATTTGTACGAAGGCAGCAATGTACTTATATTTGTTTACATGAGGTTTGGGAGATTAATCTGTTTCTGGTACTGTTAGAACCAAAAAGAATTAAAAAAAAAAGGGAACACCCTCGATTCCCGAATGGATCCCGAAATCAACCGGTCCGATCCATTCCGATTTCAGGGTGGACAGGGTCGGTTCCCGGTTCCACAAGTTTGGAACCAACCCCTTTCTGTCCGGTTTCAGGTTCCAAGGTGGGAATCGACCATTCTGGAACCACCCAAAATGGAAGACTATCAGCTTCTCCTATTCTGTATTAGCTTACTTGGCGTAGACCATGATCATGTGGAGTAAAACAGGTTAAGCCGGGTACCAGTAATTTGCCTGTTATATACTATTACGGCGTTTCCGACTAGGAAAAGCAAAACTGGTCATCAGCATGTAACAGCATTTTTCTCATGTACAATACCTCTTGCAACGTCTCAAGTCATTCCGAGTTTCTCCTAGAAGTTCTCTCTTCTTCAGTCATCTCAAACGGATTTACAACGTTTCGGCCAAAAAGAAATGACCGGACTCAAAGGCACCTATTCCTGATGAATCGCCCTCCCAAGATGCTTTAGAGCTTTCTTGTAATTAAAGAATCCCATGAACCAGAGATCCAATTCATCCACCGTAACAATGTTTATGTATTTCTGCGACGGCCTCTCCGCATTCTGTTCGGTAACTGCCTTAATCTTACTTATCGGTACCTTCACCTGAAAATAAGAACAGAGTTAAGATTGACCGAACTGTTGACAGGCACATGAGAATAAAGAATGCCGAACTGGTATTAACCGAAAGAGAGTCCACTTTTGCCGTCTCTGTGAAATTACCTTGTAATGGGTCTTGGTTGATTCCCCACCTGAAGAATCCACTTTTAGAGATCTCTCACTCCAAAATGCAACTTTTTCAGTGGAGAAAAAGAGGAGGCCCGCAATAGGACCGGCTGAAGTCGAAAAATAACGTTGGCAAGACCCCATTAAGTTTTCTCCATCTTCCACACCGAGGAATTCCCTGAAAACTTTCTTTATGCCACCAAGTTGAAGAACTCTTGCCCTGATTCCGGGACTTAATCTCACTGCAGTTCCAGAAAGACAAAGCGACAACTGTTTTAGCATATCTTAGAGAACTAGTTTAACTGAGGGATTGTACTCTGTGTTTGTTCTCTCCTTTCCTCTTTCCATTCTACAACTAATGGCCCGAGTTAATATGCATTACTGCAACTTCATGTCTGCATCTGTTCAGTAACAACAAACGACAGAAATCTTGTTTTCTTCGTGATTAATCTCCTAGAAGCAAATAATCTATCCCATTTCAAGCAAGCCAAGAGAGAACCATCGATGATTGCCATATCAATGGATGATCCCAATTACTCAAACTGATCCTGGCAAATTGGAACCACAGTATGGCGGGCCCCATATCTGGAAGAGTACTAAATAAACTTGTTTTCATAGATTGCACAGTTGACTAGCCAATATCAATGCACGAAATATATAGGACGGTTTTCTTCTTTCCTATTACACCTACTGAATCTCAGTAAATGTAATAACACTGTGAACAGACAGAAACAAATCATCTTACCGTGCTCTCGGAAACCATGGGCAATTACATCTGCAGTCTTCCCAAGCATATTAATTTTTTCAAGCACCAACTTCACTTTATCGGTTTGACGAAACCATCCAGATTAGCAAAACTCTTTAGTTTATGTATTGATGCCGGAAGGTAACAACCAAAAAAAAAATGAGAATGAACAGCTTCCTACTCTGTGTCGAACTTTGCGATTCATCAACTGTGCCGAATGAGTCCTTCCCAAAGGCATAAACCTGACCTGCATCGCTAATCAGCATTGTCCTGCCCGCTCCTGCAGCTGCCTGGATTATTCGGACGCCTTGAAGGGATCTGTAACACACGAGCTTCCATTAACTTTTCACACACCCAATTTCTCTCTCATTTTTCTCGCAGAGCAACAGTGACTGTTAAGTCATTAACCTGATAAGCTGAGGCCGCCATTCCTCTTCGGTGGTGTCATGTCCCAATTGCCCATTGATGTTCGAGCCAAATGTGTGCGCCACTCCTTCAGACGTTACAGCAATACTATGGCCAGGCCCAGCTATCGTCTGCGACTTCTCCCTCCTGCAACATATCTCCCCAGCCAGCAAGAAACAAAGAACTAGTTTCCAGGAACCCCCGCATTTTCGCTTTAAATCTTGGCGCTCTTCAGGTGTCATTGGCTTGAAGATAGCTCTCTTCTGGCACATGTCCAAGAAAAGCCTCTCTTTCAGTGTCAAATTCTCTTCCTCCAGCTGTGCAATGTGAGCATCCTGATCATCTACCCTGTTCTCCAAGATATTGTTTTAATCACCTCCATAATTGGGGTACACCATCTCGAACCGGCTTGTCTCATGATCCAACCTACTAAGGACGCTATTCTTCTCCTCCTCCACATCACTCTCGCTGGACCCATCGTTATCATCTTCCTCGTGATCCTCCCCCTCCTCCTCCTCCTCCTCGTGTTCCCTAAACCCTGCCTCGTTACGGAGCCTAATCAAACCCTTCATCGACCCATACCCATCCACACCCCACTCCTCCTGCACCATGTCCCCTAAAACTTCCGTAGTCGGTGAGAACCTCGGCTTCGGCAGCACCGCTGGCGTGACAGGGCTCGGGGACACCAGAGATGCAATCCCTCCGGATTTCTTCGCCCGCATGATAAACGACGAAGTGTTCCTCGGCGCATAAGGGGCGAACCTATTATTAAACTTCTTCTTCGGGTAAAACTTCCAAGCTTTCAAGTGATTCTGGGACTGTAACTCGTTAAGGCTCGGGGGCTGACAACTCCCAGCGCCAACCGCACCAGCCATGACGGCGTTAACCGAGGGATTAGGGGCTTTCCTCAAGTCCACACGCTTGTTGTTCGGCTTCTTGCCCTTCCAATTACCCCTACCTTGCTGCTTCATAGCCCCGAACCCGGGCTTCGAGCTGCCGTGGAACTTGGCACTCGGATCCATCCCAAGCTGCTGCTGCTGCGGCGGAGGCGGCCACGGCTTGTAGCCCCTGCTCAACATCGGCTGACCGAACGCTGGAGACTGGCGCTGCCCCAACAACATCTGAGGCTGGCTCGCAGTCCTAATCTGGGGCAGGATCATCGCCTTGGACGCGCCCAGCAGCTGAGGCTGGCTCATCGGCATCAGCGGCCAGCAGCATAAGAGGAAGTGCTCTGGCCGTGGAGAGGATGGGAGCATGAAATGCGGTAGCAGTAGATGTCATTGCTCTAAGAAGAGGTCAGCTTTCGCTTGAATAATTTATCTTGCAATGTACTCACTTCCTTTGTTGTTTGTGGATACATTGGCCACATTCTCTTTGCTTATCCACTTATACTTTGTTGCAGGAAACATAGGGTGAAGAGGTCGATTAAGGTACCTGCTATAAGCAACAAGCTCGCAGATATTCCTCCCGATGATTACTCGTGGAGGAAGTACGGGCAGAAGCCCATCAAGGGTTCTCCTCATCCTAGGTATGATTGCCTCTGCTTTATCATATGTGAGCTACTTGCAAGTTGAGTTATATTTCCCTAATTTGCTCTCAACTGTGCTTATCTGATTCGTTGATTGTCATTCTGTTTATCTTGGCTAATGTATGGTGGAAGAGCTTGGGCCAATTGGAGTTGTTACCTATTGTAATTTCATTGATTTGCTTTTAGGACTCCCAGAATTCCCTAGAACAACTATTAGATGGTTTTTCATTTGGAGATACGGTGCTTTAGTAGAGTTGTCGTTCTTAAAAGGAAAAAGATTAACATCTCGTTATTCGGCTGCTAAATTTGCATTTGGGACTTTACAGGGTGCTCTGAGTTTCTATTGTAAGTTAGCAACTGTGATCTATTTGATAATCAAGGCTCTCTGCTTTGGCTTCTGAAGTAGGGATGTCTTGTTAAGCTAGGTCCTTCTAATCTTCTATTTGTTTTGCGGGGGATACTACAAATGTAGCAGCATGAGAGGTTGCCCTGCAAGGAAGCATGTGGAAAGGTGCTTGGAGGACTCGTCTATGCTCATTGTCACTTATGAAGGTGAACATAACCACCCCAGGGTGCCATCACAATCTGCCAATAATGAAAATCGCAGAATGCTTCATTTAGATCGCTTTTTCGAGCCCTCTGAGTTTTCAGAGTCTTGGGTTTTTAATTGGCTTGAATTGCTCCTGTACATATTTTTCATGGCCCGAAGCATGGGATATAGATGGAGCAGTTATTGGCTGAAAAAAGGAAAAGTTAAGGCCTTTTGGTTACTGTCGGGTGGGATTCAATCTCAGCCTGGAGCAAGAAAAGTTGGGAAATGGGGATCTTTTTGTTGCTTGTAAGAACTTTTTCTGGTAATTAAAGGTAACAGTTTCATGTTCTTCAAGGGTAAGCGGAAATGGCTATGCTATGGTAACTTCAATTTACAGTTTCTTAGGAATGCTCTGCTGGGTCTGGGTTGGATGATTCATACCAATTCATAGATGCAGTTTGTATTGAGGTGGAATATGTTGGCAGATGTATTCTTTTTGGTTGAAGCTATAAGTTATAGGAAGCAAAACATTGCTCCTCACGCATCAAGCAAAGCAAGTAACTGGATCGTGCAGGTTCCTTCCGGGATTCGCACGTCCATGCACGAGAGAAGTGTCTCCTAGATTCAAGCGGAAGTAATCAAGGTGAAGCACACACGTATACATAACACTAAGTTTATATTATCACAGTCACATGAACCCCAACAAGAGAAAGATAACTAAATAAAAGACGACCTCCCTTTGGCCTTGCAAGCACTCCATTATTCTAATACATAAGAAAGAAAATACACCAAAGGACGAGCGGAGAGTCAAGAGCGCATTCATTACAGACCCCATCTAGCGACCAATCACGAGCTGAAAGTACTTTAAGGACACTGATGATAATGTCGGATTCTCGCAGTGGAAAAGCTTTCGAGTAAAGCTTTAAGATACGCATGCGCTAACGGAGAGCCTTGGGGTGACGATGGCCGACAAGGGCACGGCCTTTTGCAAGGCCAGACCAAACGCCTCGTCCATGTTCAGCTCATTGACACCGTCCGGCAACTTCCAATCGAACGAGTGCACCAGCGTCCCCAGTATGTACTCGACCAGCACGATCCCCATCCTCGTCCCCGCACAGATCCTCCGCCCGGCCCCGAACGGGATCAGCTCGAAGTCGTTCCCACGCGGGTCGATCTTCGCGTTCCTCCCGCTCAGGAACCGCTCCGGGGTGAAGTCTAGAGGATTCTCCCACACGTCCGGGTCCCGCCCGATCGCCCATATGTTCACGCTGAGCCTCGTGTTCTTGGGGATGTAGTAGCCGTTCACTTGGCACGCCTCGGTCGAGACTCTCGGTAGGTTTAACGGTGTCGATGGATGTTTTCGGAAGGTCTCCTTGCATATGGCCTGCAAGTACGGGAGCTTCGCGAGGTCGGATTCCTCCAGGCGTCGGTGCCGCCCGATGACTCGGTCCATCTCTTCGTGGGCCCGCTTGAGGATGCTAGGGTTCTTCAACATCTCGGCCAGCGACCACTCGATTATGCTTGATGAAGTATCGGTGCCTGCAGTGAACAAATTCTAGAAAAAGAGATAACAAGATCAGTACTAAACAATGTCACATGTTGATAAAGAAGCCAAGAATAAACATGGTAGATTTTGTTAAATTCGTTAAGACATATATATATATATATATATACCAAGAGAAGGGCCTTAATGTTGGTCAAATTAAGCTTCTCGGCCCCGGGGTTATCTCGGTTGGCCATGACAACATCGAGAAAATCCGGGTTTCCTTTACGCTCGTGAGCAGTTGCCGAGTGTTGCTCGATCATCTTCGTCAACAGCAGGTCGAATTTCTTGTGCAAGCGCTTCATTCCGCCTTCAATCCCTTGTACGTCCATCCACGCAATTGACGGGATGAAGTCGCCGATGTTAAAGAAGCCTACATCAATTAAGGGAATCGGATAACCTTTGTGAGCGTGTCATAGATTCAAGCATTAACAACTCGCGCGATAGCTAAGCGTATTCGTGTTTTTGTTTCGAATGTTTGTTGAATGCTACACCTGCACTTGTCATCAGCTCTACCACCATGTCCTTGAATCCGTTAGACTCGGAGCCCTTCGTCACGAACACCCTTCGGCTCAAAATGACTTGCCCTATCATGTTCGCCATGGCATAGGTCAACATCTCCGGCACCACCACCGGCTCGCCTCGCTTGCTGCACTCGCACGTAGCTTGAAGCATGTACCCTACCTCGGCCGACCGGACGTGAGCCCAGTCCTCAAGGGCCTTTCCTCCGAGCATGTGCAAATTACTCAGCTTCCTAAGCAACTTCCACCTCGAACCGTAGTCGGCGAAGACCATGTCCTGCGCGTCATAGGCCAAGTGGGTTGCCCCCGCGTTCGGAGGCCTGTTGGAGAAGTTGATGTCTAGGGTTTTCAAGAAAGCCCGGGTGGCGTCAGGGGTCGACGCGATGACCATGTCGCACGTGCCCATTTTCAGGTACATCACTGGCCCATACTTCTTGGCCATCTTCGCCAGAGCTACGTGGGGCATGTTCCCCAAGAGAGGGAGGGCGCCGATGACCGGCCACCCTGTCGGTCCCGGTGGGAGCTTACGGGAGTTCAAGCGAAGTAGGAGGGATTTGACAAAGAATCGGGTGATGAGGAAGAGGAGAGTCGCCGCGGCGATCTCTCGGGCAAGGACTTTGTCGGCAAGAATCATCATCTCTGTGTTGCAAGTGTTGGGACTTGACCCAATATTTGTGAATGGATACTTTCTTGGGTGTGTCGTATGCTGCTTGTTATATAGACGGATGAAAACACAACAGAAGTACAATCTGGGGTAGGTCGAATGCACCCGAGCACGAGATGTCTCACCAAACCACGGTGTCTCAATCTTGCAGAGAAGGTTTGGAAGAACACAAAGTGTTTTCACCGTGAGCTCTTGGAGATCTACCGTTCTACTTGAAGAATTTTGGGAATAGATCGGCACACAATATCAAATGATATCTATGTTGGGCGAAGACATAGTTCACGTGATATGATGTTGAGCAGAGTGTAGATATGCATGAAATGTATAATGCAGCATATGGTGCATCGTTCCGAGAACTTATTCCCCCCCTGAAACGACGACGGGAAACGGCCGTTAGCATTGTTTATCGTTTGTCAGTCCTCGAATAGAGTAGACCATCAGCGTAAACGGACGTGTGGAATGCACCTCCATTTGTTAAAGTTTACACGCGGACGGTGTGAAGAAAATCATGACGGAAAGAAGATTTCAAAGCCCGAGACGTATCCACCTGTGTACCCAGACTTTATTAGCATAGCAGTTTTTGTGTCACCGTGAGAATAAGGCGTGTTGTGAGTTGCAAATTATTGAAAGGGTAAATCTCACAATAATTTATGATTATTCGTTATTTATTTTTTGTGATCTAGAACCTGCTATTAATTTCACAGTAGATTAAGGACCGTCACTTAATCATTTCTTTGTTTTTTTCACACGCGAACGAAAACTTTCGTCTATTAACAGAATGAATTTCTTAATTCCAATTTCACAATTCGGGTTTTACACCCGATTTCAGAATGAAAGACAGTTAAGAACAACAGCAATACTATTGTTTCCAGGATTGATAGAGATTGTGTTCTCAGCCGCTGCATTTTCTAACTTCAAGGTGATAGTCTGTTTTTGATATCATCTGAAACGGCCTTACCATGAAAGCAAAGGATTATGATATCTTATGATTAATCACGTAAAACACAACGACCAATTATCTAATGAAGTCATTTGCGAAATTGTTAAGCATTTGTCGAAATTAAATGAGAAACGTTCATTAGAGAGAAGACATGACGAACGAATTTCGACAAAATTGTCCAAAAAGTACTAAATTAATTGTACGGCGGTCAATTCAATCTTAAACCTCTCGATTGTGCTAAACATGTTGACAATTTGGCAATTAGTCCTATACATTTCAATTGTGCCAATTTAGTTCTAAACCTTTTGACGATTTACCAATATAATCCTTCCGGCCAATTATCCAAATACGAGGTTTATGATTAAATTGATAAAACTTCAAAAGGTTTAAAACTAAATTGGCAAATCGTCAAAAAGTTTAAAATTAAATAGGCACCATTGAAAGTTTAAGACTGAATTGGCCACCATATAATAGATTTAGAACTTTTTGGACAATTACTCCAACAAATTTCAAACAAAACATGAGATAGGTTGTTGTTTATTCGATGATTATATGTCCAAGAATTATTGTTAGGTGCCCGTAGCAGCGACACTACTTCCTATGAAGAGCACATCATGGGAGCCAGCCAGTAGCAGGGACACTACTTCCTCTAAGCGTGGATCAAGTCCCACTAGGAATTTTGCGACATTTAGGTATGTGTCCTTCAATTCATTCAATACCACGCCAATGATTTCCTGATAAACTTCCCTTCATGCCTGTAATGTTAAAACTTATTATAGGATTTGTCATCCCCCAAATCCTATAGGAATAGGGGTAGTGACACGACTGTCCTTCTTCCCGAAGGACGTAGCCTGAAACCCAACAAAAGAATCAACTCTCAAAAGTCTCCATCAAAAGCGCTCTCGAACTATCGGCCACTAATCAAGGAACCTGAAAAACACGAAAGATGAAAGGAATGAGCTATCATGGCCCAGTGAGTAATACATTTCTTCCAAGCGAATCGAACCATCACTATGCATCATTATAAAATGATATCAATCTCATTATCTCAAATTCAATATAAAATATCGAAAATGTATGATAACTTTCCAACAAAACTTCATACATACAAGATCAGTTATCAAAACTTACTCAACAATAACAAACAATCATCAATGGTCTATTCCATTGATTAATCTCATCAATCACACGTCGATAGTCCATTCCATCGACTAATCTTATGCTCATCATCGAACTATGGTCACGTTTAATACCGTGACAAAGGCGACCAAGTTTTACTCCCTTGGCTAGATCTACCACCTATATAGCCAACGGTTCGGCCCAAAAGGGTGTCCTGACAATATGCATACTCCCCCCTCAATAGGTTCTTGTCATAACAATATGAGACATATCAACCAAAACATTTCTCCAACAACGCACAATCAACACCATAAAGTTATTTCATAAACCAGTTTTACAAACCGAATCACATAACCTTTCACAATTCCATTTATCAATTAAAATGCATTTCATAAAACATTTCGTAATCAGTACGAACTACTTTTCGAAATTCCTTTCACTAAACATTTAACCAAAACATTCACAATTGGTCATTTTAGACCACTTCATAAAACATTCTCAATCCCTTTTCAATCGACTAAAAAGGTAGTAAAAGTTTGATCTAATTTATGCAAGAAATATGCTCTTAATAACTCATACTATATTAAAACTCTACTATTTTCAAGACATGAGTTTGTAAATTCATGGAAGAAATAGTACCACTCACCTAGGAATGCCCCAAAACCAAACAACAATGCTCACTCGAACCGACGATCTCGTGATCCTAACAATTAAACGAGAATCGACGTTAAAACCAAGTAAAATACTACAATAACTACAAAACGGATAAACGACGCTTAATCGCTAACGAAATAGCTCAAAGGTGCACTCGAACCGACGATCTCGTGATCCTAACAATTAAACGAGAATCGACGTTAAAACCAAGTAAAATACTACAATAACTACAAAACGGATAAACGACGCTTAATCGCTAACGAAATAGCTCAAAGGTGCCCACAAATCGCTTGTCCGAAGCAATTATCCAAAACCTACCGCAACGCGGAGCTTGAGCGCAAAACTTGGTTACCCTGTAACTTTCTCTACCAAACTCCATTCCAAGCGAGCTTATAGTCAAAAGAAAGCCAATTCAAAGAACTATAAGAACCCCAACTTGGCCGACCCAAAATCGAGCCAAAAAGCAACGAAAATCGGCATGAAAGCTGCTGGTCGGACACTGTTCATCACGCGCGCTCAACTTCAAAATTTTGTTTCGGGCAAACCGTAAGTCCGAATCGAGTTCCGTAAAATCCTATGGCTCCACGACACCCTAAACTACCAATTATATATATACGCACCTCAACGACTCAAAAATTGGACTTCGCGACTTGATTTTCATAGAACTTCGAAATTGTGCCCTAATTCCAAAAAATACTTCGATTGAGAGAACGAGGAGCGCGAATGCTTACCGGGCCTTGCAATGCAAAGTTGAATTGACTTGTCAAGGCCCACGAGATGTGACATCCTGAAATTTGCCCATTTGGAATTTATGAAATGCTGGTTTTATGAACGTACTCGTAGTTAGTTCTCGCCCGGAACTGATCATTCCTGGGATACTAACCATTAGGGAAAGGCTAATTAGGGATTTAAATTCGTGCAACTAAAGAAAATTCGATCGTGAATTGATTTTCGACCATAAAATTGATGAGGTGACATTTTGAGCCACTGTAGGCCGATCCGAGGATAGCCAGGGGTCAGCTCGCCACTGTCATAGTAGTGGATCGCGGGTGATTCCGCTGGACCACGAAATGAATTGACGAATGATCCAGAACCTATACCGAACGATCGTACCCGACGGAACTAGTGATCGAACCTCGCGATTACATGACAACTGAAGTTGTGACGAACCGAATGAACTTGCACGTGACTCGATTTATTATCAGTCACGAGTTGAATATGCAAATTTCCCCAAAAGCCGCCCGTTAGTTTGAGAAACGCTCGAGTTACGTTAAGTAAAATTCAATTATTAATTAGAGTCCAAATTGGGCATTGGAAAATTAGGAAGTCACGACGAGGCGTTAGGACGACGTTGTGGTTGGAACGTACAGCTTTGAATTTTCCCAAATCCTTCAGAAAAATTTAAATTCGGCAAGAAAATGGAAAGTGACCATTTTACCCTTGAAGGATTATAAAGGGCAAGTGTTAAAGGGGAAGGACATTTTGGTCATTTTGCCCTAATTTTTGAGTTGGACAATTTTGCCCTTGGAATTTTATGAAATTCCCAAATTGCCCTTGGATATTTTTGGAAAAGATTCGATCCGGGCCGTCGATCTCAAGATAAGAATGAATCTCGACCATCGATTGGATTTGTGAGGAAAGGGCATGATGGTCATTTGCCCTCAATTATTGGTTTTTGACTATTTAAGTCCAAACACTCTCTCTCTCCTCATTCTCTCTCTCATCTCTCGGCTCCATCTCTCTCCCCCTCCCCTCACCGCCGACCGTCCCTCCCTCTCGGCCGCGCCACCGCCGTCCGGCCGCCGTCCGCCCGATCGCCGCCGCACGGTCACCGAGCCACTACCACCCTCACGCCGTCCCCCTCACCCTCTCAGTTCTCTCTCTCTCCCCCTCTCCCGTGGCCGTGAGGAATCGGCCCAAGTCGCCGCTCACCGCCGCCGTCGCCGAGCCAATCACCGCCTCCGAGCCGCTCGCCGCCGCTCACCGTTGACCGCCGCTCGTTTTCCGCTCTAGCCGAGTTAGTCTAGAGTTCGGTAAGTCGCGCCCTAAACTTTATTTAGGACTTCGGGTATCGACGGACAAATTTGAGGTGGAATCAGGTTTAATTAGACGCGGATTAGTATGGTTTTAGGGGCGGAATTGATTAGCGGGCCTTAGGAATGAAGTTGGGAGATTTTGTTGGAAAATTAGAGGCCAAAGGCGGACTGTGAGTGGCTGAAATGTGTGCTGTGATGTGCTGTCCGGTATGTAAATTGGGTATTTGGATTCGGCGATT